CCAAACCTACACAAAAAAAAAAAAAAAAAAAAAAAAAAAAAAAAAAAAAAAAAAGAAGGGGGGGGGGGGGGGGGGAGGAGGGAGGAAGTCATAAATAGGATTTATAAAGGGAAGCTTTTATATTGAATTCTGAGAGCCACTTTTTATAGAATGCTGACCCACTCTAAAAGGATTTGCTGGAAATTTAATTTCAGGTCTATGGCTAAAAGGGCACCTTTGCAAACTTGCATTTGTATTCATTTCACCTCATGTTCTGTAAAGGTAGTTTCATCAATATCAAGTGGCATGTTTCAGTCTCCAAAGACTGCCAAATAACACACAGTACCCTTCTCAGCAGCTCAATATAGGGATTGAAAAATCCTACATAGATGGGTCGAAACAAAGTAAAATGGTTCCGTTTTCTACATTTCCTTATACCTGTTTCAAAAGAAAAGTAATCAAAATAGCAATTAATTATAAGTTAAATACAGCAATGAAATAGCATTTCATCATTTCTTCTGCTGCTCCTTCCTATTAAAGATTCTACCTCTATTCTCAAGTAATCTTAGCACTTTTCACAATTAATACTTTGTTGATTATAATTATTAATAAAAGAAGTTTGTATATATATATTACTTTTTCTTTCTTTCTTTTTTTTAATTCCTTCTGTTCAGAATTTAGGCCAATACTGTTTTGGTTTAACTGAGTTTTGTGTAAATGTGTAGTAGTACCCTAAAAACCAACATTCACCTGAGAACATGTACAACTAATCAATTTTTGTTCTCCTATGTGAAATATTTATATAAATATATTATTTGGGAGGAAATGTTTATACTTTCTCTAGTTTCCTGAGCTTTATTTCACTTGATAAACAGTCTCTCCTGCATGACTATACAACCACAACTAACAATTTGCATGGAAGGAGAAAGCTGCCCAATGTGTAATGGTTGAATAATATCTACTGTTTAATATCTTGGTTGTTGATGCAAATTTAGTTCAAATGGATCATGAATGATGTTCATTACAGTTTGGCAAATCTACCATTTTCCTAAAAAATTATCTTCAGTTGGAACACCTTCTCAGATAGCTTCACATTTGAACATGCCTTTTTTCTGAAGCTCTTGTAGGGAATCCCTGGCCTGACCATCACTTAAGTAGAGAGAAGCCCTTTTTCCCACCCAGCTGAGGCTCAGTGGGGAATGGATAGTGTTTTCCCTATGTCTATCTCTTACACACCAGTGAGATCCATTAGCAGGACATTTGGGACTGTTTGTGCTGCAGCTGCATCTGCTGTGATAGTTCTGAGGATAAATAGCTTTTCCTTCATGGGTCTCAAACCAATCTTCTCATTTAAGAAGAACAGAAAAGAAAGATTAAAGAGCATATTCAACTTGAACGTGACCTCTTGGAGAAAAAAAACCCCAAACAAAACAAACAAAGAGAGAAGTACTCATAAGATTTGAGACACTTTCAGAAATTCTTTTTTAAAATCATCTCCTCTGTACTAACATTTTTTACTGAACTGTCTTTTCTGTTGTTAAGTTTCATTGATCTTTTAGCCTTGATTGGAAGTGATAGGAATTAGTTTTTATTGATCTGCTTTCCTTTGCTTGAAACAGCTTTATTTATGTTAAGGCATGGCCCCCATAGCTTTTTGCCTAATGGTAAATGTCTTGTCTCTGCATGTGTGAGTGACTGCTGAGATAGGCAATTGCATAATTTCTTGTAATTTTTTTTGTTTAAGGGTAAACTGAAAATGTACCAAATCACTTCTGTGCTTTTCATGTTCACAGGGAAGTGGTACATTATGTATTTGAAGTACTTGTAAAAAGTCTTTTTCTGGCTATATTCATCAGTATAATTAGCAAAAAAAATATAGTAATAGGTTGCTTTGTTAAGCTTGATCTGCTCTCTAAGAGGTCTTCTCTTGAAAGCAAACTTTAGAATATCTGTGCAAAAAAAAAAACCTGAATAAACAACAAGGTAGGGCTCTGCTGAGGCAGGTGAGCTGGTAAAGAGGGGACAGTTCACACTACTAAAATGGGAAAACCCAGAAACCAGCTATAGAAATTTAGAGAGGAAAAAACCCTTAAGTCACGGAATTGGAAAGCTGTCCCTTTCTGTTAAATTCTGGTTTTATTACTCCTGCCTGTCTGTATCTGTATGGGCAATGCAGGGAGTGGCACGGGATGAGATCTGCTTCAGTTCCTGAAGGAAGATGATTCTGAACATTGTTGGTGACTGCTGTAATGGGGAGGGATAATATTTTGAGGATTTAAATGAAATGCTAACTCTCTAATTTAGAACAAAGCCTTACTGTGGCATGTCTAGATGATTTTTTTGTCTTTGCTTCATAATTGTGTTTGTTCTTTCAATCAAGAGATAAATGATTCATAATAACAAAAAATGTTACTAGAAATCTAACTGCAGTGTCAATTAAATATCTTCATAATCCCTAAAAATTAGGTCTCTTGGCCATCCTTCTAAAACAATTACATTTTGCAGTGCTCCCAGGAGACCAGCATCTTCCATCTCTACAGGATAAGCTCTCAGTTCCAGATTTCCACTCTTTGACTGTGACTACCCACCCCAGACACACCAATCTGGGGACTGTCAGCCTGGGTGCCACTGCTGACCTGCACTGCTGCTCTTGCAGGATGAAGATCTCACAGATAGAGAGTTAATTTCTTTGGTGGATGGACAAGGCTAAGTCCTGTGCACACCAATTCTGAGCCTTTTTTTAAAAAAAAAAAAAGATGCAATGCCTGTAATTTTAGTGAATAATGCTTTGTCTAACCATTTCTGACAGCATTTTCAGTCTGGTTTATCATTTCAGCTTTGGTATAGCACTGCAAATGTATGACTCATTACAACAAATGAAATAATTCATGTCCTGGGCTTTTGTTTTGACCTAAAGTTTGGTAGCTATTAAAATTACCAGGCTTGCTCCCTGAACACATCTGCACTTTGTAGACTTCTTCCCACAATGTGAGGGAAATCAAGCAAATCTCTAGTCCCAGGCATCAAGGGGGCTGGGAAGGGAGCTGTGGGGCTAGAGCTTTCACTACAAGGAATAGCCTCAGCATTACTGTGTGACCTGACCTTGTTGTGGTCCCCTTCTTCATAATGAGTTGAAAAATTCTGTCTGAAAGTTAAAAACTTGCATTAAATTAGCACAGTAAAAAGAGCATTTATGACATTGTACAGGCAACTCAGGAACATACAAGGTATCAACAGCCTCTGGTGTGTGGGCTCTCTCTCTCTCTGCACCCCCAAAGAAGAGAGAAGAGGGAAGAATCACCTAACATCCTGTTTTCCAGCCTGGTCCTTGTGTTTATACAACTCATTCTTTGAATTCACTCAAAGATATCACCTTCATTCAGATACGAAATCACAGGCAAAGTGATCATTTGGAGTACTCTTAAATTCTGCATGTTCTTTTCTCTAGAATGGTCAGCTCATGATGGCAGGACTTCACTTCATTCTTCCAAGGCATTATAAATAGTAGCACTAATTTATATGTGGGCATTTGTATATTATATGGCAACATGGACAGTCAAGGCCTGACTCAGGTGTAACCAATAATCTGCAGTGACACTTCTTAAACTGTAGTGTCTTTTGTGTCTTCTGCTTCAAAAACTGATGCTAACTTTGGGCTGGTTCTGTCTTCTGTAGGCGGCTTCACTCCAACTTCCTGCACTGCGACTGCCACCTGGCCTGGCTGTCCGACTGGCTGCGGCAGAGACGCACCATCGGGCAGTTCACCTTCTGCTTGGCACCCGTGAGCCTGAGGGGCTTCCTTGTGGCAGAGGTTCAGAAGAAGGACTTTGTCTGCTCTGGTAATGATGTCAATTGTTCGTTTCTCTATCAGCTGATGGCTTTTGTGAGTCACATAAAAACAGTGAATGGAAAGCTATTACATTGTGTCTGACTGTCATTCTGTGGCAGTCCTGTTTGATTTTAGTATTGCTGACCATTATGGAAGTAGATCAAATTGTTAATATTTTCTAAGAATGACTGGGTTCCAATTAACATTCCAGTTCTCAAATAATTTTTTCTACTTTAGCATTGCCAATGATATCAACATTAGAAATCAATTAAGTGTGGATAATTTGCTGTTTCTCAAGGGAAGGGCTCTAGAGCTGACTGGAATATGAAAGAAAGGAAATAGAAGATGCTAATCTGAGTCTGTTGGTAAATGATTGGACAATAGAACAGGAGAAGCAGATTTTATCCCAGGGACTGAAACAGGGTTCTTAAGGAGCCAGTGGACTGTTCTACAAGTTTCCACACTGACAAATGAGGCTGATAATACACAGCCAACTCACAACCGTGTGCCTGTGTGTTGGGCCTACTCCTCAAGTCCTGGAACAGCACTTGGCTCCCTTGTGACAGAAATGCATTTTCTTAATTGAAGAAAAAAGAAAGAAAGAAAAAAAGAGAGAGAGAAAAAAAAATAAATTGAAAGAGATCTCTGAATTTGGCTGAAAGGAAGAGATCTGTCAGAGAGGAGGCATGGCAGTGTGTATGCTGGAAACAAAAAAAAAAAGGAAGATGCCAGACACAAGTATGGAGATAGTTTTGCAGGCCAAAGGATAAGTAACACAGGGAGCTTGTTATGAAGTGTGAGTCCTCATCTTGAGAGACTTTGAGTCTTGTGGTATTATGTTCTTTATCTCTCACAGCCTGTGCCATAAAGCTTTATCCTTTTGGTACATGGGTTGACTTATGGAAATACAGTACAAATACTCATGCTAGAAATGTTTTTAGGAATCTTTTTTTTCTGTATTTTTATCTACATGTGACAAAGCAGGGGAGAAACAGTCCTACTTGGAAAAGAAGGTTTGATCTCCTTAACTATATCGTGGATGGTAAATTAATGCCCAGGCCTGAAGGTGTGCAGGAAGTGTTATGGGCACATGGAAAATTAAGTTGTGAACCATTGATTTTTGTGACATGACTATCAGGAGTGTTGTGCAGCTTCTACACAGTTGTGATGGGAGAATGGCCAGAATATCTGATACATTTAATCAAAAGTTTAGACAACAGAAAAGTTTAGAAATCTAACAGTCCTAGGAGAGGCAAGATAAAAGAAACAGACAAATTAATTAAGCTATTGGCAAATATATTTTTACCAAAGAGCTAAGCACCACATCTTCTTCTTATGAAATGAAGTTTCAGATGGGTCATGAGTTCAGCCATTTGGATTTATGATATAGTGAAGTCAATGGAAAAGAGTTTTTTAAATCTGAGAAGAGACAATAATTGCTGAATGAGAAATAGAACATGGACAGACTCATCTAAATGGAGTTTTCTGTGCAGACTATGACTTCCAAAAGAGAAAAGATTTTTAACTGTTGCCTGTTGGAAGAAGAACATATAAGAGAACTCTCAAGATTGGCCTGCTTTTTTTAAAGCAGAAATTAATACAAATTAAAGGAAAAAATATTCCAATGAGACAGTCCATCAACTGTATTCCCTAACCCTTTTTAGGAAATTAAATATACTGGAAAAGAAATGCATTTAAAGAGCTCATTTTAGTGGAGGATTTAGCAGAGAACTCAGCTTAGTATGTGCTAGTTCGACAAAAACCCACATGGACAGCTAGTTTAAAGAGGGTATAAATCTTCCCTGCTCCTTATTACAGTTCTTATTCCTGATTTTACAGCGTAATTTGTTCATGTTTGATTATGAAATCAAACTAGGACAGGAGGTGAATATTGAACTGAACTTGTCCCTCTGCAGAGGAATTTTATACAATTTAGGCTTATATGAATCACTGTAACTAGCCTCAAGCTGGCAGTGAAGCAGCCTTTGCATCATCATTATGAAGAGCTGAAATACAGTTGAGGGAACTGCTCTAAGTCTAGGCTGAGCATTCCAAAGACTCATGTTATGGCAGCAGGATTATCATCTCAGTGAGAGAAAATGCAGCTTTTCCTCTACTGTAAAATTGGACTAATCAGAGCATTCCAGTTCAAAACTTGCATTGTTGCATGCTTCAAAGCAGAAGGAGGAGAATCAAATAATTTGAGGAAAGTGCATCCTTGAAAGACTGACTTCTGGTTATTCTCTGAACCTTACACACAAGTAGGGGGTTTTAATAATTTTATTACAAATGTTCCTTTAGAAAAAAAATTTGTATCCTACATAGCGAGGACTAGCATAAGTTGGAAAACAAGAAGTGAAACATGGATACAAAAGTGCCATAATTAGAACCCAAATTGCTTTATTCCTTCTGGAAACTATGCTGCCAGTCCTGTACAGTGATATTTATATGCATTATGTGCAAAGTATCTCAAGATAATCTTGAGGAAGCCAGAGTTATGTGCTAACATATCTGTGTCAACTGAGGGTCAGTCTTTAAAAAATATTGTTCACGTTGTACACATGAATTATAAAAATGGTAATTCAATCAGCACTTGTAGGCAAATTGTGAACAGTGGAAAAGACATTCCAGGTTTCACTTGTTTGTGCCCATGAGCATTTGGCTCAGAACTGCAGGTAAATGTGTAGGATTAAATAGTGAGCAGTTGTCTGGAGAAAGGTTTGCAAATATGCCTAATTGGATTTGTGTTACTGAGGAGGCAGGGAGAAGGTCATTAACAGAAGTGACTAGATGGCCTCTTACCATCAGGGCAGCGCACTCAGTACTGCTGGCAGTCCTGTCACCAGCCAACTGACACCAGAGCCTTCTAGCTGGCTTCTCCAGCAAGCTGTCCCCTCCTTGTAGGAGAGTCTGTCCCTCAGAGCCACCCCTGACAGAGCAGCCTGCCTAGGCCTTTGCCTTGAAGCCATCTGTTCCCAAAAAATTCTCCAAGCAGACTTCCTCCTGCACAGTTGCATACTGACCGATGCGCCTGCTGAGACAGTCGTAGAAGGAGAAACTGTGTGGCACCAGAGTGCTCCTGTTTGCCTCCCAGTCCTAGCATGAGGTGCTTCTCCTCTCTCCCCCTTGCAATTCACTGCTCTGCTGCTGTGATGGAAGGAATGGTACACTAAAGCAAACACTTAGTATCACTTGAAATGCTACCTGCATTCTGACCCTTGGGAACTGTTTATTTTTGTATTCCCTTAGCTAGAATCTGGGGCTGCTGGTTTATGCTCCTTACTTCTTAGAGCCTTTCAGCCTTTGCTTGCATTAAAACCAGCTTCTTGCCCATGTTCAGATGGTTCACTGTTGAACCAGCTTCTCTTTCTCCAGTTCTGTTTCTCAAACACACACACTCCCTCTGCTTGTCTGTCTCTTGTCCTCCTCTGACCTCTTTAAGAGAACTTTATTTCATTTTCCTCTCATATAAGTTTAATTATGACACTTGGATTTTAGTTCTACCTGCTTTTTACTTACAGAAGTTGAAATTAATCTACATATTGATCAGTTATGTCAAGTCATAATGTGTTTTCTCACTTGCATTACTGCACCTGTGTAGCTTTGCAAACTGAAACAGTTGAGTTCATGAAGTTACACCACCAGCAGCACCTCGGTCTCTTCGGTGCTCTGTGCAGGACCCACTGAGTGACCCCATTTTTTCACACTCTTTTACAAAGTATACACACGATAAAATAAATATGCATCTTACCTGTGTATCTGTGAATAAATCAGATACATTTGGGAGCACTGTACTCCATACTGTGATGTGTAGCATACTTCAGCCAGCCCTCCCCTCAGCAACTGCTGTCAAAACAGTTCCAGTGTCATCAGTTCTCAACTGGTGCCTTGCAGAGAAGACTATCTGGTAGGTAAGCAGGCAGAGTGTGGTGGGAGGCAATTGTTTTTTCTCTACTGTTGCTGCTGATTCTGAGGTGGTGTTGACCCTGAAGGTGCAGGTTGATACAGATTTGTTATAGTTTCAGCCAGTAGTTTTAGGTATTTTACAGTGGACTGTGTTTACAAAGGAGTATGAAGTTTGGATGAGATTTCTTAGAATAGACCAGAGAGCTAGAGTTTCTGATTCATATGGTGCGACTGCAGCTGAGGTATAATAAAGAGGAAAGTGTGTTAGCTTCCTGCTGCTTAATGCAGACTGGAAGCCCTAATGAGGAAGCAGATTTATTTGTTGAAGTGAGGTCAAACAGTCTTAAAACATAACTGTTACTCTGTGGCCCAGACCACGAAAATCAGTAGATTGTCTTGCTCCATTTTTCTCCTAGGAATTTCATAGTATATTGTTGAGGAGAAAACTAACAATGAGTAACTAATAAAATAGCACTCCTCAAGCTTAGTATCTTAATGAGAACATTCAGAAGATGCCAAAGGAAAAGTGTGTGGTGAGAGGAGTTTCCCCATCTGCTCTTATTTAAAAGACTGTGCAGTAGTGTATCTGCAGCAGGTCTGCTGCTTTCAACATGGGATGTGGGGGTACTGCCTGCAGGGAAGATTGGTGCTCCCTGGAAACCAAAGAGGAGGGAGGACTATTTGCTAATGATGTAGACTTTGCTATTTCTGGGCAGCAGCAATTGCTCCTGAGGGAGCAGAGTGGTTTCCCTCCATGCAGTCCATCCCATACAGAGAAGTGCTGCAAATCGCCACTAGTTTTAATGGTCACAGGAGAGCAGTGGTGTTAAATACAAAGGAACAGGGTTGACTTTGAGAATGTGACCAAGCCTTTTTTATGAAATCTGTAGACTTTTCCGGTTCAATACATGTGTGTGATTGGCAACACATTTATGGATACTCAGTTAAGAGGAGTAATTAAACAAAACATACAGCTGCTTATAAAATGACTGCAGAATTCCACAAATGAATGGGTGGCAAGGACAAACTTGCATATATTCACTGCCAGGTTCAAGTGAATTTCTGTTTTATTGACAATTAAGTTTACTGATGTTATATAGTTGC